GGTTTTTGGTATTTTGAGAGGCTTTGGCCCACCCAGGCAGCCTCTCCAGCGGGGTGAGCCGGGCTTGGGCTAGAGGAACAGCGCCTTGGCCGAGGCAGCCTTCCACACCGTGGCTCAGAGGCAGGAAGGGTGGGTGTGAACACAGCCTGCCCTGCTGCGGTGCAAACACTCTGTTGTTTTGTTTTATCTTTGAGACCCAGTCTCCAGTAGCCCGGGGTTGGCTTCCAATGCACTATGTAGCCGAGGCTAGCCTTGAACTCGCTGACCATCCTGGGACGATCTGTGTGCTGCACCGTGCCAAGCTTTTCTCTCACTGTTTCTTCTCCGGTGAAGCTGGGTCAGAACCCACTAGGCCTTTCTTTTACATGGGGGGGGTGGGGGGGTCACAGGGCAGCTCCTGGGAGAAGGGTCACCTTGGGATAGAACTCAGGTCACCAGGTTTGGTAGCAGGCATCTTTACCTGCTGAGTCTCCAGCACAAGGGTTGTCCTGCTGTGGGTTTAGACCTACCATAACAGTCATCGGTCACCTCAGCCCCATGCTCGGTGATGCCAGAAACGCCAGCCGCGTGGCCCTGCATGGCCCCCCACCCCCATGGCCAATTGTGTCCTCCCTCAGTTTGGCCCCAGCCACCTGAAAAGCCCTTGGGAACAGTGACATCGGGTGGCCTGTGATGTGTGTCCATCTTCTGGACACACAGGTCTCTCTCCTCTGTCACCCTGTCCTCCCACATCCTTCCCGGAGGCCTTGAATCCTCCCCAACCGGTCTCTCCTTACCCCAAGCAAAGAAAGTGTGAGAAAGGGTAGGAGGGAAGGCTGGCCAGGAGACCTTTTGCTGGGATCTTTCTACAGCAGCCGCTGAGGGGGAGGGGCCACCAGAACACCACATCTTTATCCTCTGATGAGAAACAGAAGTCGGTTCTGGGGGGGCCAGATGGCTCTGTGCATAAAGATGCTTGCTGTTGGGTCTGAGGACCCGAGTCTGAACCCTGAGACCAATGTGGTGGGAGGAGACCACACCAGGCTCCTGAAAGTTGTCCTCTGACCCCCCACAGGTGTCCACGGTTCCCCACACTAAAGGGAAGAATGGACGTCACGGAAAATGCCTTGTAAAGAAAGTTATTTTCAAAATACAGAAAACTCGGCTCCGAGGCCGTGTCCCACTTTCCGGCTACATCAGAAACTCCGCAACCCCACTGGTTGTCATGGAGACGGCCTGTCCTCCAAGAAGTGGTGATGTCACCCCCTGATAACAAGCAGGCAGGGTGTTAAGGGCACTGTCTTCATACATTCGGAGGTAGACCGGAAGGTGGACCCTCTGCGGCCTCAGCTTCCCCAGGGAAGAGGCAGTCTCCCGGTCAGAGAAGCCCTGGATGGGGGCAGCTTTGAGCGGGATGGTCAGCGGGTGGAAGGTGCCTGTTGCCACGCCTGGTGCCCTCAGCTTCAGACCCAGGACTGTGGGGAGCAGAGGGAGCCCCAAGTGAAGGAGGTCTGACTGTGTGCTGTTCACATGGGCACTGCCATGGCCAGGGCATGCCTCAGCCCTGTGGGAGTCTGTGCGTAACTGTCCATGGTGTGAGCAGAGGCTGTCCACCACAGCCTTCTCCCCCTCATATTCCCAGACTGCTCCCCTGCAGGGAGAGACACCGCCTACCAAGATTAGCTAAGCCTGCCTCCTTGTCCAGCTGCAGACGAGAACCCCGCCTCCTCGTCCAGCTGCACATACTAAACACAGCCACCTCCCAAGATGCTAGTTTCTCGGTCAGGGAGCCCAGCCCACACCATCGCAGCCTTTTCTGCTGCATGTGTCTGTCCTTTCTTCATTACCTTGATGCCCCTCGTCAGGGTTGGAGGAGCAAAGCTCCACAAGGACAGTACCCAAGACCTACCTGGCGTAAGGAGAGGAGAACTTCCTGAAAACCGTCCTCTGACCACATGCTCCACTCGGCGCCCGTGCGCCTCACACTCACTCACGCCCACGCATCTATACACAATAAATGTAATACATGCTAAAAAGCAACAGTTCCCCTCCCATCGTATGCACAAGTCCGAGGTAATGAAGACGCTCTTGCAGCTACACAGGGTCACGCTCCTGCAGAGGACCCTCCAGCGCGGCATAGGTGTGGCGGCGACAGGCTACTGGAGTCTGGAAGGGCTGGCTTGCGACCTGAGCGTGCCAGACCCCAGCCAGCCCGCTCACTGTTGTGTTGTCTGCAACCGCAGGACTTGGGGTGTCTATCAACAGAGCCATGATCTGAGCCGGGGGCCGGGGTTAGTGACATGTGGAGACTGGGGTCCAGGCCCCCACTGCACCCCTGATAACAGGTCCCCACTCTAACTTGTCCTTCTGTCCAGTAAATGCTCTCCCCAAAGTCTATTCTTTCTTTATGTACTTTTTTTTTTTTAGCAAAACCTTCTTTGTTTTTGGTTTTGTTTTGTTTCTAGACAAGGGTTTCCCTGTGTAGCCCTGGCTGTCCTGGAACTCACTCTGTAAGCTAGGCTGGCCTTGAACTCGCAGAGATCCGCCTGTCTTTGCCTCCCATGCACTGGGAGAAAGGTGTGAGCAGCCTCGATGTTCTCCAGCCCAGCCCCTCACTGCATCAGGTCTGTGTGAGAACTCTCCTTCCCCGAGGGCTAGCCCTACAGCCACAAGCCTGGTGTCCCACAAGGGTCCACCCTGCTCAGCAGCCGTGTGGCTGAAGGCATCCAAGCGTCCACTCTGCAGGCAGGGCTCAGGCTGACCTCCCCAAGTGCTGTTTGCATCGCCTCAGGCAAGCTGTATAATTGTCCTGTGACTTAGTTTCCTTCTTTGTGTGAAGGGAGATAATAATAGTTTTCCCCTCAGAGGGTGTTGTGAGGTCTGGATGAGTTAATACGCCTAAAGCTCAGAACAGGATCTGATACAAAGGACGGGTTATCAGGGTCCGGTTATCAGGAAATTACAGGGCAGTAAAATGACTGAACTGGACTGGTCCACCCACCTCGCCCCTCCTTACACCCTGCCAAACTCATGAGCCACATTGGGTCTAGGCTTTGATCCCTTGAAGAGATGCCCTGTGCTCCATATGGAAGTCTAGGGCTGGCTAAGCAGACTTCTCATTTCTCCAGCTGAATAAAGTGGATTGATCCTCAAAAGCCTTGCCATAAACTTACTGGGACAGTATACATACATGTGTATACAAACATACATGCATACATACATATTTGGTTTTTTGAGACAGGGTTTCTCTGTGTAGTCCTGGAACTCACTCTGTAGACCAGGCTGGTCTCGAACTCAGAGATCCTCCTGCCTCTGCCTCCTGAGTGCTGGGGTTAAAATCCAGGATGGTGATCCTTGGGAGGTTACCCCTTTCTACCAGGTACATAAAGAGTTCAAGGCCAGCCTGGGCTACATGAGACCCTGCCTAAAACAAAACAAAGAAGGGGGAGGGCAGGAGTATGTGCAGGGTTTAGAAGGCCCAGGGCAGAGATCCCACAACCCCTGCAGGGGCTGACATCCAAGGCCTGGCATCCCTTCCACTGGGCAAAAGGGAACTGAGAGGGTAGCTACAGAGGCCCCAGGCCTCAGACAGCTCTGGGAAGATCTCTGTTCCTCTCTTTGCCCAGCTTGGGGCTGCAGGGTGGGGCAGCAGCTTTAACTCTATGTCCCGCTGTTTCTTACAAGTTATTAAAAAGAAAAGGCGCCTGTAAGCGGTGCTTAGAGAGAGGCTGCTGTCATCCTCTCAGGCAAAGCCCCAGCCCCGTGCCCGAGCAGCAGGCCCTTCTCAGAGATCCAGCAGCTGGCCCTTCACTTGCTCCAGTCAGCTCTACCTTCTAGCACATTCTAAACCCAATCGCCATCCTTGTCACGTCCACATAGCACACTCCTCTCCCAGCTGGCTTCTGCCTCACCTCCTTCAACCCAAGCTGCCCAGCAGTTGGAGAATCCTTAAAACCCCCAAATGAGGTAGTTGGCAGTTTTTAGCACTTCTGTGCCTCAGTCACCAAGCAGTTCACTTTTTTTTCTTTTTAGTATTTATTTATTATTTATACAGTGTTCTGTCTGCATGTGTACCTGCATGCCAGCAGAGGGCGCCAGACCTCACTATAGATGGTTGTGAGCCACCCTGTGGTTGCTAAGGATTGAACTCAGGACCTTTGGAACAACAACCAGTGTTCTTAACCTCTGAGCCGTCTAAGTAGTTCCTGCTGTGACCAGCCCAGGTCAGGGCAGCACAGGGATGGCGCTGTTGGAGGAGACTGAGCCACAGGAAGCTAATCAACTGGCTTCCGTGTGCAGAGAAGGGAATACCAGGGCTAGGACTCAGCTTGGGGACACACTCAGCACCCCACAGGGGTCAGCTGCCATAGTCTCAGGTCACGACCCCTCAGTTGCTTCCTCCAACCTCGCCCGAAGCCCTCCCCACCGCGCCTATCACCTCAGGGACACTCTTTCTCTGCGTGTCCCTGTCCACTTGGATGGCTCCTCCTAGACACGACCCCCTCCTTGAACATCTTTTGAACACAGTCCCCTCTCCCCCTCCATCCCCAGCCAGCTGAAGTCTGTTCACAGACCTCCCCCACACCCCGTTCCATCACGACACAGGAGAGAGACATCCCCATTTGCAAGTTTGCTATCTGTCCTTTCTAAAACATTCTAGAACTTCCTCTCCGTAAGAGCCCCCAATAACAGCCTGGGACCGAGCAGGTGGGCGTGGCCGGGCCTGGCTCCACCCTGCTAGGACAAGGAGCCCCAGATCAGCACTGTCACCCCTGGCCCACCAGGGCAGAGGTGAAACCCCCACGCTGCCCCCCACTTCTGTTGTTAGCTTCTCCTGCCACCCCTCAAACCTCAGGGTTTGCATTCTGGCTTGGCGCACAGGACAGCTCACAGCTGGGCACCCTGGCTGAGCTGTCTCACTTCCGGCCGATCTACCAGACCTGGCTCTGTACCCCACAGCACTTCCAAGGTTGCACGGCCCCCCGGGAGCCCCTGCAGAGACCCCAGGATAAAGCTCTTACCCATTTCAATCCCGCAGATGACCAGGGCTGCGATCACTGCGCCCGCCGACGTCCCTGCAAAGCGGTGGGCGGTGTCCAGCATGCGCGGGGCCAGGTCTCGAAGAGCGTCCACGGCGCCAGCCTGGTAGTAGGAAAGGAACCCGCTCCCCGAGAAGGAGATGGAATGAGGGGTGTCTGGGTCTCCTTTGAACACCTGTTCGTCCATCTTCGGGGAACCCACGCTTGTCTGCAGTGGCTCAGTCTCTCCTTCCCGGTCAGCCGACAGCCAGGAATGTGGCGATTCTACCGGCCCAGCCAAGCACCCCCGGCTGGTTCATCCAGCCGCTGTCTGGGCCTGTTTAGCTCCGAAAGGCTGATAAGGGACCCCAGGGCCTGGATGAAATGCGGACAGTCCTTAGAATTGGGGCCAGGGTCTTGGTCCTGCAGCCCCCATGCTGGCTTCATGGCCTAGCTGGACTCCTCACCCAAGTTCCTCAGCGCTCTCCCCCCATCTGGAGTGCACCCACAAGTGGGGCATTCCCTGCTCCCTGTTCTGGGCCCTGTCCCCAAGGGCGGTGCCTCTCAGCCCTCAGCATCCAATTGCAAAATCTCTGCCTCGCCCTGTGCCTCCCTTTACCAACAGGCTGCTGCTCCAGAGAGTTACAAACCACGCGCACCCCACCCCACCCCTGTGTCCCCCTCGCCCTCAGGATGGGCTGCTGGGTGGCTGTCGTTTTCCAAGGGGAGGGGTAACTCCTTCCCACCCCACACCCCTCTCCAGTCCTACCCCGTGCTTTCCCCACCCCTCCCCGGACTCTGGAAACTGCCGAGTTCTTACATAAGCACCTCTCTGTACATTCTTCCGGCAGGATTGGCTCTGGGCAAAACTGTAACAGAGAAGTTTGACTCCGGGGGTGTTGCCCTGGTTTGCTTTCTACTGCTGTGATAACATTCGTGTCTGCTTACGGCTTAAGGTCCACCCCAAGGGAAAGTAGGGGCAGCAGGAACCAAAGCACGGGCTGGCTTGCTCCCCATCGCTAGCTCAGCCTGCTTTCTTACACAAACCTGAGCCACCTGCCCAGGGACGGCACTACCCACGGTGGGCTGGGCCCTCTCCCATCAATCATTAATCAAGAAAATGTTGCACAGACTTGCCCACAGGCAGTCTGATGGAGGCGATTCCTCCCGATAGGTTCCCTCTCCCCAGCTGCTTCAATAAACGAGGCAGCAGGGTCTCCTCCTCTCACTCCATCTCTCTTTCTCTGGCCTGGCTGGTGCCCTCTCGCCTGCCTCCAAGCCCTGTGGCGGCTCCAGAGGCCAGAAGGGGGCGGCCCTGCCGAGGGAAGTGACTGGCAGACGTAAGCTGCCCGATGTAGGTGCGGGGAACTGAACCCCAATCCTCCTTGAAAGCATCAAGCCCTGAGCTATCGCTCCAGCTGGGATGCTGTCTCTAGAGTATAGGAAGGAAGAGCAGAAAGCTGGGCCATTCCAAGATGATCACGTAGATAAACAGATTCTGTGTGTGTGTTGGGGTGGAGGTGGGGTGGGGGTGTCATGAGGTTCCATGTGGGGACATCACAGTCAGGACGAGAGGTGTTTTGATAAGGGACAGGGACTTGGGGACCAAGGTTAGCTCTAGGGCGGCCCAGCATGACTCCTCACAGCCTAAAATGGTCATTGCAGACCACTGAGGCAGCAAAAGCTTTCCTAGTCCCCTCCTTCCCTCCCACTCCTCCTTATCCCTCTCCTCCCATCATCCTCTGGATTCTCCATTCCTCCTCCTTGTCCTCCCCACCTCCTTCCCCTCCTCTCCCTCCTCCTCTGTATTCCTCCCTCCCCCTCCTCTGTATTCCTTCCTTCTCTTCATCCTCCCCTCCTCCTTCCCCTCCTCTCCCTTCTCCTCCCTCCTTCTCATCCTCCCCCTCCTCCTCTGTATCCCTCCCTCCTCCTCTTTACCCTTCCTCATTCTCCCTTTCCTTCTTCACCATCACCATCACCACAGGGCAGCAGGACCAGAATTAGGACCGAGACAGCAAGTTGTGCCCCTCGTCATGCCAGTTGGCCCCAGCCTCCTCTCTGGAGGTGGTGACATCAGTGTCTTTCCTGACATCAGCCCACCGACTCTGATGATTGTGTAGCTCCAAACTGGAAATAATGCAATAAAGGCGACGTCCAGCATCCGCTAGGGACGGAGCGTTCAAGTGCTCCATCACACACACACAGCTTCAGACGTGTGATTGTCAGATTTGGAAGGCAGCTTTTGGTTAGGGGTGTGTGTGTGTGTGTGTGTGTGTGTGTGTGTGTGTGTTCCTGCTAAAGACCTTGGGGGGGGGTGACAGGAAGGAGCCAATGGCTTTTGGCAATGGGAACAAGGGGAGGTGCACCCCACCCTGACTCCTCCGAACCAGATACTAACAGGCTTCCTGAGAGTCTGACAGACAAATGTAAAATAACCAGAGACCCGTCCAAAGAGCCCTGTAATTAACTACTAAATTGTGCTGCTGGAGGGGTGAAGAGGGAGGGAGAGCAGGGTGAGCTTCCGCAGTCAGAAGCTGGGGACCAGAGAGCAGAAATGATGGGGGCTGGGGGGGTGCAGGCACAACTAGGGGCTTCCTTGGGAGGGGAGGTGTGATGGAGGCCTTGGGGTCAGACAGACAGGCTGCTCAGACAGGTTGACTCCTTCACATGCAGTATAACCCACACAATACATTTGGTATTCTCCCTGTTTGCAAAACAGGCAGTAATTCCCAAGCTTAACAGGAGTCACAAAGGCAACAGATAATGGGCTGTGAGTGCCTGGCAGGTGGCACGCCTGTCATTATCAGAAGGCAATAAAGTCCGAGGCTTCTGGAGCAGATGGCCTCCGAGTCTGCAGAAGAGAAAGGTCAGAAGGGACACAGATGACCTCCGGGTAGAATGCAGCAGGGCTTGGAGGGCACTCCAGCCGCAGGGGCTGAAAGGGGGTGAGATCGGGGCTGATGACGGGGAAGGACTCAGGGCCTGGGCTGGGTGATGGCTGCAGGGTGAGTCAGCAGAGCTATTGCCACAGAGAGCCTTGGATGTGGGACCGACCGGCTGGATGAGCTAGGTGATTCACGGATAATCCCTAGTTTTCAGCTTGTGGGCAGGGAGAGGCTCGTGCCCACGGCAGACCAAGAAACTGGGACACAGCTGAGGAAACCGGATGAAGGAAGATTTTATCTATCCTTTGTCTGTCTGTCAGTCCATCCCTCCACACATCCATCTTAAGATCTGGAGGCTAGAAAGACACTTCAGCAGTTAAAGGCACTTGCTGCTCTTGCAGAGGACCCGTGTTCAAATTCCAGCACCCACAGGGAGACGGAAACCATCTGTAACTCTAGTTCCAAGGGATCTGGTGCTGTCTTCTGTCCTCCAGGGGCACTGCATACACATGGCACACAAGGCATACATTCGGGCAAAACACCCATACTCATAAAATACAAATGAATTAAAACTACAGCTCGTATTTTTCAGTGGGCACAGTGCACAATCCCTTTAATGCCAGCACTCAGGGGGCAGACGCAGTCAGGTCTCGGGGAGTTTGAGGCCAGGCTGGTGGAAACATAGCAAGTTCCAGGCCAGAGAATGCAACAGAACCAGATCTCGACTCAAAATAAACAAAGTGTGTGTGCGTGCGCATGTGTGCGAGCTGCGTGCACACCTGGAGAGCAGAGGTTAATTTTCTGAAGTAGGGTCTCGTTACAGTTATTTTCAGCTGTCGACTTGACGCACCCGGGACTCGGAAACCTCAGTTAAAAACTGCTCCCATCTGGCACACCCGAGGTCTCTTCAGAAAAAAAGAATCTCAGCCTCCAGACAGCACAAGCCTGAGATCCCAGCAGAGGCATTTGGATCTCTGTGAGTTCTAGGCCAGCCTGGTCTACAGGTGGAGTTCCAGAACGGCCAGGGCTACACAGAGAGACCCTGCCTCGAAAAACAAACAACAAAAACACAGTAACAAAAATAACAAAATAATAATAAATAATAATAATAATAATAATAATGGCCCCATGATACTGCGAGGTGGGCGTGTCTATGTGATTTCTAACTGTGAGCCTAGATAGAGCCTGGAAATCCTGCCTCTTGCTTCCTGCTTGGCTTCCACCTGGATAGACTGGAATGGCAGCCACATTAACCCTCTCCTCCCCGAGCTGCTCCTGGTATTATCAGAGCAACAGAGACGCAGGCCAGAATGGGCCTCTCTTTCTATCATGTGGGACCTAGGATTTGAACTCAGTTCCTTGGGCTTGGCAGCAAGCACCTTCACCCACAAAGCCATCTCGCTGACCCAGACTCACAAGTTTTTGAATCCCACTGAGGCCAGTTTAATCGTAACAAGGGGGAAAACACCACCTCATAGGACGGTGTCATGGTACACAGGAAGTGCCTCTATCAGTGACGCCTCATGCTGCTTGACAGCACCCTTGAGAAAATCGACTCAGGACGCTCCGGCTCATGGTTGGAGGGTACGGCTCATCGTGGCAGGAAGGCACTGGCTGGGCAGGGTGGGGGGTGACAGCTCACTCTTTCCTTTCTACACATCCCCCGGGACCCCAGCCCATGGGGTAGTGCCACCCACATTCCAGCTGGGCCTCCCTTGCTCAGGTCTAGAAGTGTGTCTCTCAGGTAATTCCAGATCCAGTCAAGCCCACCTTGAAGATGGACGGCACGGGGCTTACAGAGCGGTAGGTAACATTGTTCTGAATTGACTGTGCTCGGTACCTGGATATGAACTCGACTGGTGAAGAAGTGAATTAGGCTGGTGTGATGGTGAGCTGAGGCAGGAGACCATGAGTTCCCGACTGCTGGCCCTGTCTCTGTAGACTTTGTTTTACAAATAAAAATGAAAACTGGGTGTGGTGGCACACGCCTATACTCAGGGAGGCAGAGGCAGGCAGATGGTTTTGAGCTCAAGGACACCCTACAAAGCCAGTCCAGGACAGCCAAGGCTACACAGAAAAACTGTCTCAGAAAAACCAAATTAAGAAGAAAAAGGGGCTGGAGAGATGGCTCAGAGGTTAAGAACATTTGCTCCCCTTCCAAAGGTCCTGAGTTCAATTCCCAGCAACTGCATGGTGGCTCATAACCATCTATAGTAAGATATGGTGTATAAATAATAAATAAATCTTAAAAAAAAAAAAAAAGAAGCAGAAGCAAGAACACAATTCCCCAAACCTTTTCTCTCTTACCCTGCACCAGGCACAAATTGTACCCAAGAGGTCTCCAGGATGGCAGTGCCCATGGGCTCTGGTTTCCCCTGCTTGTCTCTAAGCCCCTCGGGGAAGGTGTCTGGGCACAGCAGATCCCTGTTCATAAATACTTGCTCAGGAAGTAGAAGCTCACAGTGGTGTTCTGTGAAATAGTGAAACACTGGCAATGGCCGACCATTCTACAGCGGAGCCCTGTCCTCAGACTGTGCTCTCCAGTCGCCTCCCGGAACCACGCACTGCAAAGGTGGATGGAAGGGCTCCCTAGAGAGACGGAGACCCCCTCATGAGCTTAGAGAACAAGAGCAACCAAGATGGTGGGGACAGGGGTTGAATCTGTCTTTACCCTACTTTAAGTGAAAAGCGAGCTCCAGGAGAAGGGGTGTGTCTGTGTCTATGTTAGGAGGACATTTTGTCATAGAA